TGTCAAATGTTGGATATGTTGGCAGGTTGCTTAATTGGTCTCTTACTCTACATGTGCATGCACACATATTGTGGCATGTTCTTGTGTATAGTGATAATTTTATTAATGACATCACACAAAAAGTTTACTGAACCGCCCTTTGCCTCCTCCACCTTTACGAAAAAACCAACTTTCCTACAGCTACTCGTGCAAAGTGTGTTTAAAGAGGAATTTTCAAGAGACTGGTTGTTATATATGCATACATTTTACTGTTAGTTTTTAAGAGTTTTTCTCCTTTTTTTTTTTTTTAATTAATACTGTCACTGGGCTACTATGATGGTTGTTGTAAAAGTAGTGAAGTTTAACTATTTTTAATTCAACAGTCAGATTGTCAAGGAATCTTCTTATGTTTTTGTTAGTGTCTTTCTCTTCTGTAATTTGGTTTTTCGTATATTTTTTGTAACCACAAAATCTTAATTTCTTTTCGTGGCTTGTATACCGGGCTTGGAGCCAAAACTGAAAGCGACTTTCTACACCTATACTTTGTGCACATCGAGGTCCGTTTTCATTATCTGTAGTTTTGTTTATTGTTGAATACACTGAAAATTAGCAAATTTTTTTTTTTCATTTTGCTTCTCTCTCGTTTTGAATTCATTAGTCCTTAACCAACCCGACGAACTTCATTTGTATATGAAATTATTTCTTCCAAGTCCACCAAAATGAAAAAATATGTAAAGTGATCTATGGAAGAGGGTGTACGTAACAAGTGGCAAAAAATTTATATTTGCCTGACGGCGAATGTTTGATGCCCATAGTTCTATTGGTGGTTTTTATTAATAAATAGATCTCTTTTATATCCATAGACCATTTGACTTGGAGGCTCCTGCAGATAAGAGCAGCGCATTATACGTACAGTCGATTGTCAAAAGAGTCGTAGTGTAGTTGGTTGAATAGAGTCCTATCGTCCATGAACATTTGAATCCTCTCTTGCACGCGGCGAAGTGCTTTCAGGAAAGAATTGTAAAGTCCCCGGTCACTCAAAACTACAGTAGGCCGATTATATATACTGCCACTGTTCATCTTGCATCTCAAAAGGCTAATAATAAGGAACTTCCTCGAATATTGTTGTCCACTATTGGCGGTGACGACAGTGTAAGGATCATGTTTGCCTTTGATCGATAACGCAAGCGATTTATTCAACTAGAAAAATAAAAGTTCAGCCAGAGCTGAAGGTACCATTTTTCTTATGTTCTTTCTTAAGTTGCTTCATGACATCATTCGCTCGGGAAGATGGATATGAACAAAAGGAAAATGTTGCTTAATACGATTTGACAAGCAAGTGAATTTGTAGTTCTCTCTTCTTTTTATCTCTTTCTCTCTCTTCTTACTAATCATATGTGACGTGTTGCAATGACAAGAGAATGACACAGTAAAAGTAAGAGATACATTGATAGAAAAATGAAATGAAATGGCGGCTAGGAGACGATATAAAGGGATAGGTCTTTATTGGTAGCCTATTAGGTTAGAATTAGGACTAGGGTTGCTTTATAAGAAGACTAGAGTTCGTTTTTCGCCTTCGATTACTCGACTTTAAAGCCGATACAAAAGAAAACGATTATTTTCAGAAATCGCTGGCCATTTAAATCCTTCAGCAGCAGAGGAAGTAATTAATCAGCACCCGTCGTATGCAATTATCATCTTTGACAAGATGCTTGTGAAATTTTTACTTCAGATGCATGTAACATACATACAACGGATCACAGCTTTTACGAATGTAACCTCGCAGAGAGCGTTTAACAGTGGAAAATAATTGATATTTTTACTTTGTTAGTAGAGTAGCGACTTTGCATTACAATCATTTGTAATGCAAAGTATTATTATAATTATTAAATGAAGAAGTGGCCCACCATTACATATGAAATTTTTTTATCTTATTATGAAATGATTCGATATATATTTATATGCTAATTGTTATGTAAACCTAACAACATTAATTAAAAGTTCCAGAATTCCTTGTAATTTATTGATAGGATAACTTCAAAAAAATAAATCTAATGGTTAATCTTATCAGTAGAATTTTCTGAGAGCAATTTTGTGTGGGCAGTGTGATCCTAGATATTCTTTACAATCGCTTCATTACTACAATGCTACAAACAGTTTTATATTGTCTCGCTTTAACGTAAACTTTAAACTGTACACTGTACACTGTAGACTGTGCAGTTTAGCAATGGCTCCTAAGAATACATAAAATTTGCTTTCCTTTAGAAAATTCGCAGCAAATAGAAGTTATTTGAAGAAGCTTTTGAAAAACTTTATATATAACTGCGTCGTGAATGTGATTAGTTAAATTAGATCGTCATTAACATTTGTTATATTTTGTGTGATCTAAATTTCTTTAAATGTTAAAAGAATCAAAAGGTTTAAAAAAAAAAGAAAAAATTAAGCAATAAACGCAATTACATAAGTGTAATATAAAACATTTCAAAAAACATTTAGTTTTAAAACATGTTAAGGTGAGCGTGTGAAAAAAATATAAAAAAACCTTTCAAAACTATATAAAAGTTCATATAATTTGGGAAAGGAATGACAATATTTGCTATTTGTTCTCTTTTGCATTTTCTTGCTTACAGCTTAAAAGCTAGACAAACGAATATTAACGCAAGCCTGCGATAATGGAAGAAACCAAACCGTATAGATAGGCTTCTATGCGTGTGCTCGTACATATACAACATGGACGCAATGAGTTTAAGTAATATAAGAAGAAAACAATATATACTTATATATATATACAATTGCATTGATATGTGTGTATGGATAATGTACAGTATATAGGTAGATTTGTGTCTCTAAACTAAACAGCAACACCAAATACACAAATAATAATTTTATGAGGGTAAATTGAATAATGCCCAAAAACTCCGCCCTGTAGTACCAAATATATATATATATATATATATATATATATATATATATATATGTATCCGAATATGCACAGTAACACTGAACAGCGGTGGTAATAATGTGTAATAACAACATTGAAGAAAACTATTTGCGAGAGACAACACAAGAGCAACAAGAAACCAGAACAACATATTACGCAAATTGAATAAGACGATATAAATTGAAAAAATAATGGCAATAATAACTTCACAAGCGCACAAACTCAGCGATTGGGATAAGAGAATTGTCTTTTTTTTTGAATAGCGAAAATTCCCTCTATTCTTGATAAAAAGAGAGCAAAGGTAAGCTTTTATGCTGATGTATTTCCTGTTATCCTTTTTCATCTTATTCCTCAAAATAGAATTAACGGTAAATACTAATTCATGATTGCGTTGACTCAGTGAGAGAACAAAAGTAAGAGAGAGCGAGAAAGAGAGCGTTCGAAAATGAGAAAGAGAGAGAGCGAGAGAGAGAGAGAAAGAGAGAGAGGGAGAGAGAAAAGAGAAAGAGAAAGAACGAGACCAAGAGGGAGAGCGCGAACGAAAGAAAGAAAGAAAGACAGAAAGAGAGAGAGAAAGAGAGAGAATGTATTAAGCCAAGAGAGGCCATTGCTTTATGTATTCGAACAAATGGATTTTATGAATTATTAAGGCAGGGGCAAACACATACGCTCGTACACATGTTTAACAGAACGACTTGTCTGATTTGTTTTTTTTTTTTTTTTTTTTTTTTTTTTTTTGTATTTTTATTCCCACTTTTTTCTTTTCTTTTTTTGCGAGACAATAAAACAATAAAAGATTTTGGTTGGAGCTCGGTTTCTGCTTTTATTTAATGCAAGGAACTGAATTGTTTTATTGGTTTTGTTATATACATATATTGTTGCTGTCGTTGATTAAATTGAAACTACAACGCCTGAGGAATAAAATTAAATGTTTTTGTGTGTTTGATGAATTTTCATCTCTTTCGCACTCGGTGAAAAGACGAAATTCACAACAGTAGAAATAACTGTTCATCATAATATAAGGGTAAAAAAGAGAGAGGAAGAGAGAAAAAGAGATAGACAAAAATTTGTATGCTTTTTGGTGTGGTATGAGGGCTACCATTGGACAACACTGGCAGTTAAAGCAACAATGGCAACAATCTTCTGCTGCTACTGTGTTAACGACGTTAATATGCGCGTTTCTGGGCTTCTCTCTGCTTTTTTAATAATCTATACAGACTGCCGCCTGCCATTCGTTTCAATAAAACTAACAACGTCGTCGTGGTTTTTGTTTTCTCGGTTTTTGTTTTGTTGAGTGTATGTATAACTTTGCTAAATAACAACGGCTACGATGATGATGATGATGATGATGATGACGGTGGTGGTGCTCTTTGTATATTCTCTGCGTGTTTACTTGGTTGCTCACAAGGTTGTGATAGTCTTCAGTTTAAATTGAATTTTCATTGTGAATGTTTGTTGTGTAGCGCTGTGTTTCTGAATTCCGTATTAAAATTGTATACCGTATACTTTAACCCGACGGTGATTTTTATCTTACTATTACCGGTCCAACACCCTGTATTGTATCTTCTTTGTTTGTTGAATGGGATTTTAAGCAAAAATGGTTTTAATTATATCTACAGCGAGAGTGAAGAGTTTCTGCTGTTATTGTTGCCGTTGTTCTTCAAACATAACAACATAAACTGGATTCTTGCATAGTAAACGTTCCAGTTGCCCTCTAACAGTGCTCTAGATTAAAACTCACTTACCCGGACAATTTATTCAATAAAATGCTTAATTAAAATATACAAGTAATTAAAACAAAAAAAAATTAATATAAAAACACATACGACCCGAGTGCAGTAAATTAATTTTTTTTTTTCCAAATTAATTCAAGAATAATTCAATCAATTAAGTGTGTTTTCAGTAAATTAATAATCATACGGAATATATATATATATTGTATATATATATATATATATATAAATTTATACATTTGTATACATATATATATATATATATATATATATATATATATATACTTGCATATTAACAATTTTTAATACAAACGAATGAATCGGTTTAAAAATTAATTAAGTGCTTCATGTAATTTATACATCGAAAGTCGGCTAAACATTGTTCAATAAAACCATGGTTTTGGAACAACATCCACCGCCATCGCATACACAACCATCTCAACCGTTGCCGTCTCAATCAACTAAAGCATCTGCTTCTCCCCCTCTTCATACGCAATTATCGCCATTACATTCGTCGTCACCTGCTAATCACAATATTACTATCAATAATACCAATTCGAATAATAATCGCTTACCTAATATGCCGCCTGAAGGTTTACATCCCACCGCTGCTTTACAATTGTACGCTGCTGCAGCTCAATTGGCTCCCGCCGGTGTTCGTGTACCTCATTGGAGCCCCTTTTTGCAATTCGGTGTGCCCGGAGTTTTTGGAGGAGCTCCTTTTTTAGGCAGGCCAAGATTTGAAAGTGCTGCTCCGCCTAATGCGGCGGCCGCAGCTGCCGCTTCGCAGATGGCTGTTAACGCTAGCAATGCTTTTGCTAATCTAACTGGTCTTATGCGAAATGTTTCAGCGGTACAGACTACAGCTGTAGCGGCCGTGGCTACCGCGGCTATTCAACAACGTTTAATGATCGGTAATAGACAAAACCTTCCACCCGCCGGTCCACCAAGTGAGGGCTCCAATGAAGATGCCGGTAAGTGAAATAAATGGATTAATGATGTTATGATTGAGTGTGTAAAAACGAAACGTAACTCGAAATAATTGCAGTAATTCTAAAATATTTGCTAACAACATACAATAAAGCAGAGAAGAGTTTTCAGATCCTCTAAGTATTTGCTTAACATTGCTTTTAGGAGTAATTTCATACTGAGGTTTTTCTATATGAATAATGCTTGAGACTTATAAAAAATGTTGTGGATTTGCGTACAATGAGTTCAGCGCGTACTAAAAAAAAAGCATGTTCATCGCGCCAAGATCCATGGTTTCATTTAGCTCCAATGCAATTATCGATCCTCTCTGAACGTAACGAGTTTTAATTTCTTTTTTTTTCTCGCTCGACTTCAAAACAGCAACGTAAAGTTGAAGGGCTTCATGTGTTGCTCAATCATAAATTCCTTTCCATTTTAGTGTTGCAGCCCAACTAAATTAATCATTACTAAGTTAAGAGGGACGAGAATTCTTTCGTGTATGATAAAAGCACGAAAAGTCTTTTGAAATTAATGCATGTTTTATAAGAATAAAATTGGCATTGCGATGAGAATAGAGTGATTTTGAGGAACGTTAGCCGAATAAACTCTAAGCAATTTGTGTCCGAGCCAAGCTTTCAGTTTCTTCTCTCTTTCCTTGTGTCGATGGATGAGACTTAAATATTCCTTTATAATACTATCACTGTTGTGAATGAATCATTTAAGCTAATTATTTTTAAAGTATTTGTGTTAATAGCGCAAGTACAAATATTAAAAAACTACGTTCTGCTCAAGATAAATTTCAAGTAATGAAAAACAGAAATTTCCCTCTTTTTCTTTTCAAGTTGAAATTAAGCGCACAGACGGAGGAATATAATTCCTAAATGAAATTCAGAATGACTGGTTAGTTGAGAATATGTATGTTTTATATCTGTTATATAAATCAAGGACAATATTGCAGTGCATATATAAAAACTGTCTATTTACCTTATGTATGCGTATACATAAAACGAGGTTATATGCTTTAAAGAAGCAAAATTGCAAACTGATTTGTATGTCTACGCTGCTATCTATTTGTTCATTATTTTCCGAACCGTCATTGATAATACAGTTTTATAATTTAAACCGTAAAATGACTCTTCAGTTTATGCTTATTTAGATCCATTAAGTTAAAAAATGTCCTTTTTCTTTCGATAGTCCTTGCCTAGGTATGTTGAAGAGGTCATTGAATTAATTCTGTTTAAATTATATTTTCAATCCCGTCCCAAATTTGCATTAAATTTACTTCAAAAAATTTTTTTTTCTTTTTCCATTTACCAAAATAAAATCTTGGCCAAAACTTATCCATATAACAAACTGACATTACCGTTACAGCAGATATAACGTCAAATATTAAAAAAGTAAGAGCAAAAAAAAAAAAAAAATGTTTGCTGAAAGTACTGCTGTATTCGTTAAACATATCACCAAAATGCAATATAAATAATATGTGAATAAAAGCAAAGAATCAAAAAAGAAAAGGTAGAAGCCTAGTTAACCTATATGGATACGACAAGAGGTGTGAATGTATTTAAGCATTTTCTCTGTGTTACAAACACTTCTTGGATTATGTTCATTATCGTTTATCATATTCATATTGCAATGATTTCTCCAAAAATATATAAGCCGACCTATAGTCTAATAAGTCTAAGCTTACGCGTTCCATGTTCCAAGTTATTCACCAAACAATTTTTGAAAGTAAACCGCATTCATACGGCATAGATAGACTTGGATGTTGTGAAAAAGTTTATATATCAGTTTAGTCAATAAATTGCTATGATGACATACAAATTTAGAATCCCTCTTGACAAATGCAAATTATTTTTTTAGGTAATACAAACATTCAAATGAAATGAAACAAAAATTTCAGGACATTTCGACTATTGGCGTTTCACTTACAGTTGTGGTAGCGGCGCTACGTACAAAATTCATAATTATTTCATTGTTTTACAAAAACAAAAGTAACATTGCCACTCGCAATTATACGATCTGAAAATTATATGGATGGCGAGCGAGTGTAGTGAATGGCAATGATGAGTGGCGACATCTACTCTTTTTTGTCATCCTTGCGAACTCGTTGAGTGATGTGTTATATGATAGGAAATATCAAACGAAATCTTTAAAATATTTGAACCAAAAATAATGAGTATAATATATATAAATGCCCTTGATTTTCGGGCTATCAATTTTGGGACAATCCATGATCGTGTTTAGTATCGGAGGCAGTCAATCAATTAAACATCGGACATATATGTATATATATACATATGAGAATATGAATATGAATTCAACGAATGTTTTGATTATATATGAATTTTGATGTACTCTTATAGTTTATATGCAAGCGATGAAAAAAATTTTAGCAAAAATTCCCATTAATGGAGAATATATAGAGAAATATTGTCGATATGTATGACGCAGAATCCTCGCATTAGAGAAATGCCAGAACATGATATTTGGAAATTGTTATTTCCATTTATGTCTGTCTACTCCGAAGTTCAGAAACCTAATATTTCGTCGTAAAAAAGGTAAACATATCTGCCGTAGTTGATATTGAATACGTTCTATAGATGTGTAGTAGGTAGACGTTTTAAAAAAGCAAAATCTAAAAAACAAAGGAAATCTAGTAAATTATACTATAATATATATGTAACAACAATTGCATACGTTAGCAAAGTTAATTTAATTTAATTATTGCTTATGTAAGCAAAAAAACTTTAGAAGAAAATAAAAATTAAAAACAAATATGTCTAGTATTTTAAGGTTAACGAACGATTCGTTTTAAGTTATTACAAATTTTAATTTGCGTTATACACGCGCACAGCCACCAGTTTGTTTTTTTTTTTTTGAGTTTCTTTGTCCACTTAACAAATTGTTAATCACTATACTGCATAATATTTGTGATTTTATTTTTATAAATAATTACAAAAAAAAAAAAAAAAAAAAAAAAAAAAAAAAAAAGAATTATTTATTTTAAAAATAGTACGAATGATGACGTATATGTTATTTTATGTTTTGAATTTTGATTAAAATTGATTTTAATTATTCTTTACATATATACATTATGATGAATGGAAAATTTTTTGTACTTGATTCAAAAATCTTTCTCCTCAGTGCGTACACGACAATTATCAATTGAATCGGTTTAATTGATACTTCGTATAGTCGTTCATGTAACGACTTTTCAAAATAGGGCGTTGCATGGGAACTCGAAATCGATTCACAATGCGATTCTCGATCGATCAGTATCAATATATGAGATGGATTTATCTCAAATCCTTTTGGCTGTTGCATCCATCCGCACCAATTTGATATGCCCACAAATATATCACAAGTAATGTAGGGTAATATTAATAAATAAATCTTACGTCTCCACTGCCTAAAAAAATACGAGTTTTTTATTTATTTATATTTTCTTTTCATCTTGCCTTGTATTACGTTTCCGAAAATTGAGTTCGAAACCAAGCCGCTGGTTGTGTTCTATGTTAAGCCGGCCAAGTGGTATTCCTAGACCTTAGTATAGGATAGATTAACATTTCCGATTGACAGCATTATCTAGAGCTTTTGCATTAAAAAAAACAAAAAACCTTTCACCCGATTCTTCCAGCGATTGTATTAATTCCGGCTCTTTTGTATTTATCCAAAGAGCTGCTATAAACTAATTGTTCGCTTAAATGAATATTATTAATAGCAAATGCAGGTTACTAACAAAAATTTCGAATACGACTTTCATTCCTTGCACATCTATAAACTTGAATGACATACATATATAAGAGAAGACATATTATGACTTATGATTTACACGCGCTCTACTTAAACTTTTCAATTAATTTAGTAATTGAATTGATAATTTCAATTCAGTTGAGTTGATTTTGATAAGATTTTCGCGTTTAAAAATGGAGGGAATTTTAAGCAGCTAAACATATTGTTATACCACAACATAGTCTGCAAGGCAAATGCATATGTGTTAGGAATCGAATGGTTTTTTGATGCAAAAATTAATAACAGTTTCCCGTGACGAAATTTATCACTTAGTCAATACTCCCTTCAACGTATCAATATGCGAAATTTCATTCTAATAACAAGACATAATAGTCATAATCTCTTTCTGAATGTAATTTTCGCACGACCGATCTCCGACGGCGATGATGGTGGCGGCGGCTGCATAAGAAGCTCAACTTTAAGTTTTTTGTCATCCTTAGTAGATGCAATTCTTCCTCATCAACAATTAACAGATTGTCCAATAAACTATCGCATACGGTGCAGCACAAATTAGCTCTATAAATAGATCCTTCGTATTTTTGGATAAAATGCAAATTTATTTGCAAAATACTTGTTACAAAGCTTAATAATCGTAATATACACAACATCATTATCTATGGCCTTTTGTCTCTTATTGGGCAGCCTGCGGATGCTATCGTAGTGTAGAACTACTCCGTAGTCTGAGGACACGATCGTCTTAAATATGAAGTAGTGCTAATCGGAAGGAGATAGAAGTTTATTTCTTCGGTTACTTTTGCTCAAAACGGACGGACGTACACGAAAATTCATCACCTTCCGACCAGAATAGTGAAGTGAAGTGAATTTAGTAATTTTTGTAGTTTTCGCTCGTTCTTCCCCATTGAAAGTCGAATAAAATACAATGAATAACATTTCTTTGACACACACATGTTGACACACTGATACACTGGACGTTAGCTTATAAATAATTGAAATTTACACCGTACGAGCGTAAAGTGAAAGTCAAAGTGAAATTTCGGAAGAAATAGCAGCGACAGGTTGATTTTATAAAGCCACCAATTTCAACACAAAGAATTTGTTTGTACAAAATCGATTGAGGATCATGAACTTTTCTTCTCTGTTGCGTCAAACGACAGAAGCTTTGTCAAACATTTTCCTTAATATTTGGTTTAATAAGAACTAAGTTTGCTAGTTTGTGCAGGAAGATCAAGGAATAAGATGAAAACAACTA